TGTACCGTTAAAATGGTTGTTCAGAAAATTTTCTCGCCACCTTTATTCATATGGTTGGGATTCAACTACATCACTTTATATGAAAGAAATTCCTCATATGACAAGGATACCCACTATAATCTCAAAATCCCCGGATGTTATTTGTATTCATAACTAGTTATAGAATTTCCTTTTTTTTAACATAATAAATTTCATGTTCAAAAAAGAATTCGTGGATCCCTTTTGATGTGACCACTTCTCATCCAGTCATTTAATGGGTCTGTCATCAAGCGGGGACCATTTTTAAATGAGATCCTTTAAATTTGTGGATGAGAAGCATCCATGTCAGTATTATACACCAATTTTTGCTTGGTACCAAGTATACTCATTTTTCTCTCATATATATATATATATATATATATATAATATTTATAGAGAGAGAGAGACGAGGAGAGAGAGGAGAGAGAGAAGAGAGAATATGGGTATGCTTTGGTACCAAGCACAAAGTTATCTTGGTAGTGAGATGTACATTCCTTCATTCATGTTAAATTTGGGCACCATTCACATGGTTAGGGACCGTGCGCATGGTAGATGTCGCTAAATCACTACAAACACAAACATTCTGTGCTTCGGTCCAGCATAACACTATATTTCTCAACTATACCTTATACTATATACCTCTACTACTACAGTACTATTATCTATCCATCATACCTATAGTCATATATGAGGCACAAAAATGGGCGCACTATACCTTTTTCCTCTCCACGTACCAATGGACTCCTTGCGTCGTGATGTGGACACATCTTCCTACCATACCATTACCCTTGACAGATGGCAAGCCTCACAACTTCAAGGTGTGATGTATCGAGACAAGATGTGTCCCACTCACCTAACAGGATCCTATGCCAAGCGCTCATACCCCCTCATTCCTCTCCCTATACATATATACTAGATATGCCCGAAAGTAATCAAATGGGTATGAGCTGGCGGCTCATCTTCTGCTAAAATGACTATCAACGCGCCGTGTACACTGTGATGAGGCCAAACTTAAAGTCACATTAAAGTGTCGGAGACTCATCATCTAATCTCTTGATAGCTCATTTTGCTAAACATAGCCGTCACTTAATAACCATGATCTCTCATAACCCTATATATATATATACCTCACTTATCTCATATATACTACCTAATAACCTACTATACCACTACCTAATTACCAATAATATATACCCTACCCCTACTCTCCCTCCTACTCTATCTACGTGCCATGCACGCTGGCTTACATAATCACAAATATTTAATTTCTCTATATCCTTCTTACTATATAGCTCCCTCTCCTATTTCTCACTTCGCTATAGATTATGCTATCTTAATTTTTCTCTTTTTTCTTATTTTATTTAAACTTCTATAAAAAATTACTGTAATGGATTTTTTGCTGACCTCAACTGGCGATCATTACTTTAACTGCCGGCTGATCACCCCCCCCCCCCCCCCCCCCCCCCCCCCCCGCCCCCCCCCTCCCCCCCCCCCCCCCCCCCCCCCCCCCGCCCCCCCCCCCCCCCGCCCCCCCCCCCCCCCCGCCCCCCCTCCCCCCCCCCCCCCCCCCCCCCCCCCCCCCCCCCCTTAATTTGCATCTTTTCGTAAAAAAAGATACCAATTGACATAATAATATCTTTAAATAGAATAATAAAATAAAATAAGTTAAATTGATACTACATGTCATATTCTAAACTCTACCAATCCCAAGTTATAATATGGAGTCAAGGATGAATAACAATATCATTATGAACTATAGTTCTAGCAATAAAAAAAATAATATTTCTTATTGCATTGAAAATAGAATTACATTGCACTTTTCAATATTATAAGCTCATGTTTTATAATAAACAATCTCAAAAGCAAACATAAAAAAAAGAAGTACAATAAACATTATATATATATGAGATCTCAGCCTATATTATTTGATAGACTTAAAATAATAAAAAGACAAAACTAAAGATTAATGGTAACTATGATCTCAGCCTATATTATTTGATAGACTTAAAATAATAAAAAGACAAAACTAAAGATTAATGGTAACTATAGTATAATTTTATGTGATAAAAGCAATCACATAAGCATACAAAAATACTAAAAATTTTGCATGAAAATTCCTTCTAATATAGTATAAATGTTCAAAAAATATTATCATTTATTCTTTTTATTTCATATTTTAATTGAGCCGAGATCAATTTTTCTCCACCTTTATCTTTTTATTGGGTAATTTTAGAGTAGCGTCTTCATCATCTACATCAATTGTGATATTAGGTTAGAGTTGAATTTTTTGAAATTAATCTCTTCAAATAATAAAGTCCAACACCAAAATCTACCCATTTGTCTTCTGCTCCCCCTTCAAAAATCACAACCCTAATCCATGAAATGTGTTTGTACATAATAATGAAGAACAAAAGACAATGTTAAGAGAAAAAAAAGAAAAAAAAGAAGGGATTGAATAAGAATCATTAGGTTTGTATATGATAAAGAGGAAAAGACAAGATAAGAGTCCAGAAATATATTAGGATATACTTGGATCAATTAAATTATATTGTTACTCATAATTGATATGCATAAGAAACAAAATGTGTTGACAATCTTAAACTATAAAACAAATTGTATGGGCTCTCTTAACATAATTTTTTAATGCAAGCAACCCCCAAGATAAAATTTAAAAATCTCTTGGTTTTATGGAAGAGTTTGGGTGTAAAGAACAAATGTTAAATTATCTAATCTGATTAAAATAGGATCATATAAGTTAACCCCATACATGAAATTTATTTTAACCAAAACCTATATATAAGTATTATAATTGGCATTGAGATCAAAGATACGTGTGAGATTCTCTTTGACTTTTATACAAATAGTATCTGTTTAAATAATAATAGTATAATGATCTGAAAAGAAATCAAACATACAACACAATTAATTACTTTAAAATAGTCTAATCTAATTTAATAAGAAGAAAATAGATGAAAGTACTGTGAACGTTACAATTTTATAATTCATAAATTTTAAACAATCTAATTTATTCTAATAAGAAGAAAATAACAAAAACACATACTTATTTAAGGAGATACAAGTATTGTGAAAATTATTGTAATTTCTTAATTTGAAAAAAAGATCAAATATATAATATAATTAATTGTTTTAAAGTAATTTAATCTAATCTAATAACAAAGGCACATGCCTGTAGAAGGAGATAAAAATGCTATAGAAATTATTGTAATATCTTGGCTTATATATATTGATATATGATGTTACATGTGAGAGGATAACAATTGTAAATAGAGTTCTATTTAAATAATAATAGTATAATTAAAATTCGAAACTGACTATGCAGTACTTTGAACTACTTCAATTTTAGTCTGTGAGAGATCGCCAGTCTGTGTGTAATTATTAATCATATAGCATGTGAATAATTATTTGCAGATTAACATTATTAATCATGTAGCACGTGAATAATTGTTTGCAGATTGGTATTATAAATCTTGTAGCACGTGAATAATTTACAGTTTGATCATTGATCACATATAAGAGCGAGGGGGTAAATTTGGCATTTAATAAATCGTCTAATTAACCTAAGCGTACCGTGAATTACTTGAATTTTAGTCGGTAAGAGATCGTCACGTTGTGTGTAATTATTAATCATATAGCATGTGGATAATTATTCTCAGTTTGGCATTATTAATTATGTAGCACGTGAATAATTGTTTGCAGTTTGATCATTGATCACATACAAGAGCGAGGGGGTAAATTTGGCATTTAATAAATCGTTTAATTTACCTAAGCTGCTCTTCCATTCAGGTTTACATTTCAATTTAAACTATATCCTTATCTTCATACTATGTATATCCAATAAGAATTCATCAATTTATTAACTTACTCTTACTTAATGGATTAGTATTTGAATTCTAAGGGTATTTTTGTCTACTAAAAGATTTTCCCGAACTCGTGTTTTTAAAGGGCGTATGATATATTTATAGAAAGTGTCTGATCCCCTTGATTCTACGTGTTTTTTACAATGCGATTGACAACTTTACCAGCCATTGTATGATGCGAAACAGAAGATTGATCGCCTCTCATTGTAGATCGAAATCTAAAATCTTAAGAAAAAGAAAGAACAAAAAGGAAGATACAGATAAATTAGGGGCTAGGGGGGTTTCACATGCAATACCTAGAGGGATTTGGCTTTACACCTAGCACATCACATGCCTACTAGAAAAAACGGTTTCACGCGTAGAAGGATTCGCTCCCATCTCTCTAATTCAAACGTTTACTCATATCGAATCTCCATGTCCTTAAAATGAAGATGAACAATCATTTTTAAAGGACAAACAAAGAGAAAAACAAACTCCTAAAAAAGTAACAACAAATAAAATTCTAACTGAAAGATAACATCAAATAAAATTCCAACTACTCCTAACAATAATTGAAGTACTAATTGAAGTTAAAATCTCCAGAAAAAACTAAAATCCTAACAAAATTTCATAATTCTAACTCCAAAAAAATGAGATCTATTTTGTGCTACATCACTATAAGTATAAGGGAAGCAAAATGGGCAACAAAGTATAGGACAAAGGTGGGTGGGGGCAGGGGCGAGTGCATGCAGGTACGAGACTACGAGTGCGTGGGTATATTTGC